TGTGGTTATGGGAGGAGGCAAGTACCTCATTTACCTTTGCTGCCATTTTGGCTGGAAGTCCATTTCTGCATTTTTTTACTTCTTTAGTACTGTCTTCCAGTTACTAGCTCTCTCCTCAGTTTGATCGAATGTGATTTTTAGTCCATCCATCGAGTTTCTAGTAATGACTATTTTTTGTTTCTAGAAGTCCCAGCTTGGATTTTTTCATAAACACTCAGATCACTTTATTTATTTTGTCATATTTTCTCATGATTTGATTTGTTTTATTTCTATAATAATTTAAAACAAAGATATTCTATAGTTTTTATCAGTTGATTATATTAATTTTTTGGCATATCTACATTTGCTTTCTGAAATTTCTGCTGACTCTTGCTCATGCTAATTTTTTTTTTCATAATTTAGTATTTTGAGCTAGTAAGATGTTCTAAAGCCTGAGTTGAGTTTGTATCTTTTCAGTGAGTTTTGCCAGGAGTGATAGGGGCATGAATTCTAGGGACCATTTTTTATGAGTCTTATTAGGTCATGCATGTGATGTAAAATTGAAATACAAATTCAAGTGAGAAAGAGCCAATGATCATGAAATTGAGGCTTTTTCTCTTTTTCCTCCTAGTTATTAAATCTAGCTCTACTGGATTTCAAAGACTAGAAATCTCTGTAGTTAGAGTATCAGTGCCTCTTACTAATCTCATTTCCAGTTCCCTTTTGTTCTTTTCTATGTGTGGGGGAATTACAACAGTGCATAGAAGAAAAGCAGACTTGAAGAGTAACTTGCAGCTAGATTGACTTGATATTTATTGCCATGTAATGGGTAGTAAACAAATATGGAAAGCAGATATGCATATGACTGCCTTTGGATAACAGAGCAAGATGATGGACTTTTCTTCATTGGCATTTAAATATATGATTAGAGTCACTGATATGATGGCTTACACATATTATTTCTCATGTGTTTGTGTCACAAAGTGATGGCTGTAGCAAGTAGTCATTTTGAAATTAATTTAATAAACCCCTTTATAAAATTATTATTTTTCCTATGCCTTTTTCAAACTTATTCAGTGCTTTGTTAATAAATATGTTCCCAGTTATCAAAATTAAAGTAATTACTTCTATATATATTTACTTTGACTTTTTTTGTGTGACAGAATAAATAAGAAGCTGAGAGAAGCTGTGATTTTATTACAGCCATCTTTGTCCTACTTGATGCACGCCAAAGACGCTGTGTCTTTGCCTTTCTTCTTCCTTATTCCTCTGCAGGAGGCAGCTCTAAAAATAGCTCCAGTAATAGATGTTATACACATGGTCAGATTGCTGAATCATGTAGTTCTTTTGTGACGTTTAAGAATGTGGAAAACAGTGAGCACAGTAGGACAAGCATTTTATCAAATGGCAAGTTATTATGCTTTTGAAGAATAAAAATTATAAACCTCTCAACAATCTTGTAGTAATTGTATTTAAATCTATTTTACAAGGATTATATTTTTAAAATATATGAAATGTTTTTGAATTTTACTTCAAGAAAGTTTTGAATGTGATTCTCAGAATTGTTTTGTTAAATATAATAAATTTGAGACTATGAGCAGATTAATAACTAATAAGCTATAAATATTCTTCTATAAGTAAATATTTTATTTTATTACTTTCTCATCTTAAGTATGTTGACATTATTGCTTCTTTGCAATAGTTTTTCTGCCTATGATACTTTTATCTCCAGAAAAGAACTATTGATAGCGTTTAATGCTTGATAATGAAATAAATATGCTGACTTTTTCTCAGAGTTATTAGAATTTAGCTTTTTTACATTATCTTTAACCCCCATTTCTCCTTTCTCCATCATTCCAAAATAATTAAACTTTTTGGGTAAGCACATTGTTGAATGCTGATTACCCCAAATTGTAATGCTAGGAATCCATTACAAAGTATCTTAGAATTGCTTATAAGGAAAAGTTTTAATTTTCTTTTAAAAAATGAAATTTGGAAAAACAAAAATGATTATGTAATTATTTTGCTTTTTAAACCACTGGAAAGACTATCTGTTATAGTGGCTATAAGGATGTATGTAGTTGAATTCTGAATTTTAGTTTTTCAATTGTTAATATTTTTCATAGCTCTCTCAGGTCATGACACTGATTTTGAAAATTTGATAAAGACTTCTGTTAAAATTTTGTTTCATAAATAAAGATAAATACAAAATATTATAATTTAATCAAATAAACTTTAAAAAACCTTCCTCACAAATTATTACCTGATATAATTTGATTTTATATTTTAATAGAAAAAAATATGTTTTGAAAGGTGTCTGTAGTCTCTGAAGGTGGTAGACTGGAACTCAAAGAGACAAATGTATTTTCTAAGGTGCTTTGATTTAGAGGAATTTCAGGCTACTGCTTCTCAGTTTCTTCCAGTTAGATGTCGGCAAACAAGGCTTGTGCCCAGAAATATCTAAGATGGATTTCAGGAAGAATTTGGGAGAAGAGATTCCCCAGAAGTACAGAGAGGGCTTTCAATTAGGTTGTGACTCGATACTACCAGAGAACAGATAGGAAGCACACTAGCATTTCCTTTGGAAAATAGGGCCCTGGGGTATAATGAGTCCTACCACTAGTCTGTCGTTCCTCCTCCACCCTACTCCCCTCTCATTTCTGGGAACATCAGAGAGAGGTAGCCGGTAGAGCTGATTCAAGGAGTTTGCCAACACATAGAGCCTGCCAGCCACTGAAGAAACTTTGGCTGTCTTCCTGTTTGATGCAAACTTATTCCTTGATCATGGTTGATAAACTTTAAAAATCACTAACTCACAGCTATGGAACAGGCTTTTCAGAGGTGGGCCCGAGGACAGTAATGCCAAATGAATGGTGTACATAGCCGGTGATTTGTCACTGCAGTTAGATTTGTTTTACCCTACTTAGGTTTGAAGGGGTTGAGAGAAAGTTGGAGAATGATACACAAGGGAAGCTGCATGGGAGAATGTCTTAAGCCAGATTCACTTTTCCTGTGCTCTCTCAAAAATCAATGAGATGTGACTGCCACAATTCTATCATTCATATATATATATATATATATATATATATATATATATATATATATATGTATATATGTATATATGTATATGTATATATACACACATACACCTTTTTTGTACAACAAGCTTTTAAAAATAAATAGATGAATCATTTTTTTGGAAAAACAGGTCTTGTCTGTAATTTTAATGCACTTGCCTAAATTCTGACTGGGGTCTTGAAAATGGTCATATTAAAAGGGAGGAAGGCCCTGGCCGGTTTTGCTCAGTGGTTGGAACATTGGCCTGTGGACCAGAGAATCCTGGGTTCAGCTCCCGCTTGGAGCACGTACCAAAAAAAATAAAAAATAAAAAATAAAAGGGAGACAGAACAGGAAGAAGGAGGACAGTTTATGACTTAATGGAAACAGTAAAACAAGTTTTGATTTGGGTTTAAATATGTAAAACAATATGTAAAATGTATATATTTATATTAGCATTATTCAAACTCATATAACTAGGAATTATTGTAATTATATTGCCCTTAAAAATAATAAACATTTTATGTGAGAAATGCCAGTGTGTAGTGTGTTAAAGAGCGGAGTGCTGGAAGTCAGTATACCTGGAATCTTGTGCTGTCTCCGCCTCTAGGATAGTATGTAACCCTTGGTCACCTTCCCAGCCCACTCCCACGCTGCCCCTGTAACCTCAGCTGTGTACTTTTTCTTATGTGAATAATGAGTTTGCAGACTAGGTAATTACTAAACCTTCTCTTAAGATTCTGTTATTCCAGTATGTCATACTTTTCGGAAGGTTTGTATCTTTTCACTTAACAAAATTAGGTAACTTTGTGTTTATTTTGTGACTTTTTAAAAATATGTTTTTATTGATTTTTTTTTTAGAGAGAGAGGAAGGGAAAGAGAGATAGAAATATCGACATGAGAGAGATATATCTATTGGCTGCCTCCTGCACAACCCCGCTGGGGATCGATCATGAAACCCCGGGCATGTGCCCTGACTGGGAATGGAACTGGGACCTCTCTCAATCCACTGAGCCACAGTGCCGGGCTATTTTGTGGTTTTTAAAAGTGGTTTTGGGCCCTGACCAGTGTGGCTTAGTTGATTGGGCATTGTCCCATGCACCAAATGTTGCTGGTTCGATTCCTGGTCAGGGCAGGAGCTTGAGTTTTAGGCTAAATACCTGGGGAGGGGGTTGTGCAAGAACAACCGATCAGTGTTCTTCTCTCACATCTATCTTTCTCTTTCCCTCTCCCTTCTTCTCTCTCTCAAAACCAATAAAAATATTTTTAAAATAATTTGGGACAAAGATTTCAATATTTGCTGAGTGTAACTACATTTAAATGTTTTTGGGGGTACTGCACCTATACAGAACAGGATAGATTTCCAATTATAAGAACCTTCGATTCTCGTTTGATTGGAAATTGCCCTTATGGTGCCCTTCAGGGATACTCACTATAATCTGCGTTTAGTTTTATGAGGAATTGTCTGTTTGGGTTCATTTGTAACTGAGTGGTATATTTACAAGGATTAAGAATAGTGAGGTAAATAGCTTTGAAATTCTCAGTACTGTTTGGAAAGCTAATTGCATAAATTTAAAATTTAAAGCATTTGAATGGCTTCCTTTTAAAAATGAGTTTTAACAAATGTTTGATCATACTACATTTGTGCTACAGTTCAAATGCTGAAGAAGCATTTTGGCTTCTTTCCCAAGAGCATGCTTAAAGAGGCAGCAGCGGCATCTCTCCCTGTTCTCTTCAGTGTTTCTTACCTTGTGAGTGGTGCAGCTCATTCTGCGGATGTACTGAAACCCTCCCATTTAATCTGCAGTGGAGAAGAATGGAGCTCAGTGTCCAGTAGAAATCAGTGGTCAAGCAAGGTTGCAGAAAATAGAAATGATGATGTATTTCATCAGCTGAGCAAGAAGACATTTATAATATTTCTTTTGCTTTTAGCTGATAAATTTTTGCTTTCTGTTTTCTTCTAGAGAGATGTGGATAATTTGCCCTGCCTCCAACGTCTGTTTCTCAGCTTCAACAATATATCTAAGTAAGTGGAAACTCCCAACTTGTCATTTATTAATAACTTGATTGTGTGGGTTGTAGTGTTGTAAATAAAGATTGTAAGTACCTTAGAGAATTTATTGACATGTGAGATTTTAATTTGGAAAATAACAGGGACATTGGTGACTAAATTATTTGTGGAAAACAAAGCTCTGGTGTGTATCAGTGCCTATCATGCTTAAATAATGAAATTTGTATAACACGTGCTTTTTATTTAATTATACATTAAAGTTGCTCTCTTGCAAAACATGGAAATTTCAACATACATTTTGATGTCCTTTGTTTGACACTTAAAACACTAGTCAGTTGATTTAGAATTTCTTTAGTAAATTATCTACAATCCATATAGCTACTCAACAGTTTTTTTTTAATGCATCATGTTTATTTATTTATTTTTCTTTATTGATTTAAAGAGGGAGAGGAAGGGAGAAAGAGAGAGAGACAGAAACATTGATGAGAGAGAACATCAATTGGCTGCCTCCTGCATGCTCCCCACTGGGGATTTGATCCATAACCTGAGCATGTGCCCTGACCAGGAATCGAACTGGCAGCCTCTTGGTGCATGGGTCGATGCTCAACCACTGAGCCACACCGGCCCGGCTACTCAACAGTTTTGGTAGAGCAGTTATATATGTCAGAGACCCTTGCTAATTAGACCATAACTTGTAACTTGGTATTCCTACTTAGAACTAATGCTGCTAAAAGACTGTATATTAAAATATATGAATATAAAAATTTTGATTTCCAAATATTTGAAGCATGTCATTCTTTATGTTGTGATAGTCTCATTCAGTGTCAGTATGGGAGGTTTCAGAACTGGAGCTGAGACAAGCAGTCAGACTTCAATGAGAAAGGACCTCTTCTCTGTCTAATTCTTTCCTCTCCTTCACTCTAGTCACTTAGCTTGAACTAGGCTTTATAACTACCCCTAAATTCTGTAGTTTTACTTCAGGGCTGTTCTCTGAACCTGCATTTATAAGATGGAAAGAATTAAGTATAAAAAAGTATAGAGCCCATGTCTTCCTGGCCTCTAGGTCTATGCTTCTGATTATCAAAAACTAGTTTAGCTTTTGTGTATTGTCTGTTTGCATCATTTTCCTCCTCCAGCACATTTGTATTACCCCAACACTGTGCCATATCTCTAAGTTAGAAATTAAATCCATATGGTGAACTTTGCAAATAGGCATTATTTCAAAGAAAATACCCTGATTTTTTTTTTTTCTCTTCTGTGGAAAAAATATTAAAGTTTTCTGGAAGACTTTTTATCTCTTTTTCAGTTTGTGTTGAATGCTCTTCCAGCTGCCTTTCTGTCTTGTCGAGGGGGTGCAGTTTATTTTTCAGTAGCAGTGTAAGGGACATTCAGTTTTCTTTAGGGAATTTCTACCAAAATATCATTGACAACTGTTTTGAGAGGACAGTTCCTCATTCTCACAAGATGTTGTTTCTCTTGTGTCACAGTGTTTACTGTTTAAGGCGCTGAAAACTCTTAGGATCCCCTAACCTGTGATGGAACTCATTACTGTGCTTCTTGTCTTGTTTATGGGGAGTAATTTATAGATAGATATAAATTTGCGTATAGGGGTTATGATGTTCCCAGGTCCAGGATACTGGAACTTCTGAACTCCTGATGTAACCCAGAACCAGCTCAAACAGATCCTATCCTGTTTCTAGACCTGAACCAAAGTTTATAGGTAACACTTGTGCACCCTTAACTGCTCCCCCCACAGAACCAAAAGACGAGAACAGGACCAGAACCTGAACATTGGAACCTTTTCAGAAGTGAAGGGTCCATTGTCCAGAAAGATCCGATGCTGAAACTCCTTGATCCTGTCCCAAACCCTGGACTGGGGAGACAGATTTGAGTCTTGCTTCTTGTCTCCTTGTCAGTCGACTTGCAAATACAAGCCTTTTCTCAAAAGCTGGTACCATATCATTGGATTCTATGTGCATTGGGTCTGTAGCAAGTTGGTTCTAATGGCTCGTATTTAGGGAGTTTTGTTCATAACCTGTAAAGGAGTTTCACTCACCTAGCAAATTAAAAATATGATTAATGGGATGAGTATTTATAACTTTCTTTAAAAAGCGTGATTTTGCAAGAAATTGAGATAGAAGTGAGTCAACAATTTCAGGGCTTTCGTTTTCTCCTTACTTGTTTTCTCTTTGTTTCTACATGGGCTTAGCCCTTTGCCTTCCCTTACTGCTTCCAGCTGATCTGCTTTTGAGGCTACGGACATTTCCTGCTCTGTTCCTGTTGACGCACATGGTCCAGGAGATGGTATAGAGAATATAGTGGGTCTGAGGGAAAATCGGAGAGTTCAAGCCTTAAAAACATTTTTATGAACTTTACTCAGGACACAAATATCTCAGATAGCTGGGCCATTAGATGATCTGTAGTGACGCCTATAGTATCTTTTCAGGGCCCAAGCACCCTGCTGCAGTCCTGGCACAGGACATGTAGTTTTGCTGTTCAGTGTCCCAGAGGTAATGGGGGGTCAAGAAGAGCAGAAGCTGCAAGTCAGTACCTTTTAGGACTGGAAAACTCGCAGATAGTGTTTCACAAATGAAGATATCCCATCATATATCCAGTCTGGGGAGACAAAAAGGCATTGCCTCTTATGTAGTAGGGCATCTAGGTTTTAACCAAGTTATTGACTTATTAAAGGTCCATTTGCATAAATTATCAGATAATAATAATTACCTTTCTGGTGGAAATTCAGGAAGTTCCAAAATGTGATGGCATCCTATTGAATTCAGAGAACTACAACATGGGTCAAATAGGTACTTGTGTTTAATGGTGAGCCTGTATATTTTCCTGCAGATATGAGAACAGTGCATTTAGTTCTACCAGTAGACGTGCAAGATAGAGAGTGAATGACAAATACTCATGTCTATGTATCTGAATAGAATCAGTGCTTCTGGTAAAATTATCCCTTAGAGCATGAGGAAGACAGAGACACAAATAAGTAATTATAATTCAGTGAATTAAAATTAGTTGTGATGATATGAAGGGATATTAGACAGTGTAAATCAGTCTGGAAGTGAAGGAAGCCTTCCCAGGGGTAGATGGTACCTGAGCTGAGCTCTAAGTACAGAGTAGGCCTTAGTGAAGTAAAAGGTACTGGGACATTAAAGGTACAGGGCTTACCTGGGCAAAGGAGCAGGCTCAGGGTATACTCACTATGTCTACTCTCTGGGGAACTGCAGTGAGATCCTTGCCCTCCCCCTTTTTACTTTCCCCCATGCCCTCTCCCCACCCCATACTAATCCTGGGTCCTCCTCCAGCCCACAGAATGCTGGAGGGGCCTGCCAAAGTACATTTTATGACAGTCACTTTAAGAGAAACATTCTGTGGTTAATCAAGGGAATCACTTAAATTTCTTCATTCACCTCTTCTTCTGGGGGTACTATTTGGTTGATTCATTTTATTTTTCTTGGCTCTCATACTCATAATTTCCAAGTAGTGATTATATTTTTTTCTACTGGTTAGTTCTTATTTTATGAATGAGATAAAGTTTGATTTCTAGAATTTAATTTTTTCCCTTGGAGTTAATACCTGTATTTGTTCTCTAAACAATTTTCCTTGTTTCTTTATTTCTGTTACGGAAAAGACTCAGACCGAACACCAGAGGAAGCAAAGAGGTTCCTTTATTCATGCATGCAGACCCAGAGGAGGCAGTCTCCAAATTCTGGGCCCCGAGTGTAGGGTGCGCCTAGTTTTATAGCGGGCTGGGTGGACATTCTTTAGATGCGAGAGCAGTAAGCAGCTTACAGAAGCAGGAAGCGAAAAGGTCTGGTTATCTCTAGGAAGCAAAAGGGTCTAGTTATCTCCTGGGTGCTTGCTTTTTCTAAAACAGCAATTTACTTCCTCTATCATTTGCATGATTTTTGGATGGAAAATGAGAGTCTACATGGAGTTGTTTCCTCAGCATGAGTTTAGAAAAGTCACTGTGAATGCAAATTATAAGTATAGAATCTCTGTCTGCAGAGGATGTAGGGTAGGGAGGAGGGGGATATCTGCCCAGTTGGATTTCCCTGTAGGATGTGCACAGGAAACTTGCCTTCTGGGAATGGAGGCTCCTTTTTCATCTCTGCCACCAGAACTTACCCTGATCACCGCCCTTCTCTCTCTTCACTTTCCATCTGGGGATAGTTCAGGAGTTAGCTGCTCTGACAGTGACAGGCTAGCAGAGTGTTACCAAACCCTTCAGTAATTACTGGACAGGTGACCCATATCTGCTGCCAACACAGGCTGCCTCTGATTCAGGGAATATTCTGAGGCCCTGCCGGCAACATTTACCAGCTTGCAATGTAATGATCCTGTTCATTTAACGCTCTTTAGTATTGTTGGGTTTTATTGATTCCATCTACTTTATATCTTCCAGAAATTCCTTAGTGTTCTGGTCTGCTGATGGAACTCTTCCTGGTTTTTTAGTACTGCTATTGCTATTTCATACTTTTATGTTCAGTCATTTCAAAGAGATTTTGAGAGGGTGGGGAGAGGTTAGAGCATGTGCTCAGGCAGCCTGTCTCATAACTGTCCTTCTTTTGAGTGATTTCCCAAAATCACTGCATATAAAGATACCCTTGGAAGCTTTGAAGATACATAGTCATCACTGGTTCACCGCTGGGTGATCTGCTCCAGTGGGGCCAGGGATCTGGATTTTTTAAGGTTTCTCGGAGGATTCGAATGGGCAATTCAGTGCAGGATTTGGGAACCAGAGTTATGATACCCCAAAATGAGAATATTTGTTAACCTAGAGATTACTGTTTTATATATCATTTCCCTTCTCAAGGAAAAACTTTCCAAACACAAATATTTGTCAGGGACAAATACATGCTACCTTCTGGAGGTAGTTTATGCTCTGTAGCCAAACACTGGGCTGTTTCATCAGTTTTGTCTCTTCACTGCCACAGCTGCAGAGTTACAAGGTTAAGTTGTAATTTATTCTTCTGTACGGTCCCTCTCTTCTTTCATTCTCCAAATGT